GAAATAAGTAGACTAAGTTCTCCATTATAATTTTTATATTTTTTCAGATTGTGGAAGGTAACAATTACCCAAAAAAAAGGTCGATAAAAAATAATCAACATATTCATAAACTACCTGCTGTCCTCCAAGTAATATTGTATAATTATTGTTTTTTTAATCTACCTCTTTTGCCAGAATTAATCATTTATCTGATCAAGTTTTGGTATGATATGCCAATAATAATTAGCATATTCAAAAAATATCTGTTTTTCTAGAAATGATATTGTATTGTAATTGTTATGATGAAATCTACCTGTTTATTAGATATTTTATTTTGATTTCAAACCAACTTTCATGTAGTTATTTAGGTTTTTTCAAAAAATAATTTTTAACTTCCTAGCGATGATTTCATTTATATTTTTTCGAATGGATGAGAAAAATTCAATTCTTGAATTTCAAGATGCCTCACGACAAGATCAAATGATTTCATAAATTCTATTGTAAAGTTTTCTGTAATAGTGATATACTTTTCAGGTTTCTTCTTTGGATTGTTCGTAATACTGAAAATGAAAAGGCTGAAATTCAAAGAAGTCGAGCTCATCATCAGAGATGATCTAACATTAGCACAGCAGGAAGAATTGTCAGCCCTTGTATTTGCGAATTTTGATGAATTTCGTGAAAATGCAAGGATTACTTTGGCGAGGCTTACGGAATCTGAGAAACAGTCTCTGTCTCGAATAATAAAGACATTTCTGGAACAATTATTCACATTCGAACACTTCATTCACGCAGGGGAAAATGTTCGATAAAGTGGATATTTTACTGTTATTTTATTACTGTATATTTTCTGTTCATGTTTCAATTGTGTAACAACTGTAATGAATTATGTAGAATGTTGTAGTAGATTTGTTAAAATATAACAGTTCCTTATATTGGGACATACCAATTTGCAACAAAAATCATTAGTACCTCCATTTAGAATTGTACAAAATGTGGAATAATATCAAAATAAAGAATGTAGATGTTTGCACCAGATAATTTTGAAATTTTTAAGTCAGCTCCAATATCACAATCTCAAGCAACAACTTTACAGACATGAAAACTATTGGCAACGCCAATTTGTATCATTTTACGCTAGTTGCACACACACACCGATTTTGGACGGCCAGTATAAAATCGGCCGATATTTTATTGGTAGCGGGTGCTTGCACACTCACCGGATTTTTATCGGTGAAACAATCAGTTGCTTTGTTGTCGTAATTAGCACGCACTACCAAAACGAAGTTAATGCGTAGTAACTACAATTTCACCGAGCATTAGAGACTGGAATGGTCGGTAAAAAACCGGTGAGTATGCTAGAGTGTATTTAGTCATGTACGCCACTACTTCCCGGTACTGCCAGCGATACAGTGGCAGTGGACGGCTGCTCACCGGTATTTTACCGGCGACGATNTACTAACATATTTGTGTTCTGGTCTTGTGGAAATTGAGTATAGTTCTTTCATTATTGATTTTTGTTGATATTTCATTATTATGTTGTTAACTAGAGTGGTAGGTATTTTGTTATTAACTGCTATTTGTTTAATGATTGCAATTTCACTTCGGAGGTTTTGATCAGAAAGGGGTATTGTGAAAGCCCTATGTATCATTGACCTGAATGCAGACAATTTCTGTGAAATCGGGTTAAAAGAGTCAAAAGGTATTGTGCAATCTGTGAATGTGTTTTTTCGGAAAATGTTGAAGTCGAGTTTATCATTGTTTTTGGATATTGTCAGATCTAAAAAATTTATCTCATTGTCCTCTTCTATCTCTACGGTGAATTTGATCTTATCGTGTAGACTATTGTGGAATTTCAAGTAACGAGATATTTGTCTAGTTGAACCATCGAAGCCTACTAATATGTCATCTATCTGGTCAGATGGTTAAGAGTACGGCTCTGCCAAACTCTAAAAACTTGATTCGGTCCCTAGCGGGGCAGGCACATAGTATGTGCTCTACTGTTTCATCATTTTCCAAACAGAGGTGACACACACTGTCTTCCTACAGTCTGATTCTCTGCATATGATGATTCATATATATATAAAAAAGTTGACGGGTGATTATTGAACGAATGTAACTTACAAGAAAATTTATTAAATGGTCAAAAATACTGAGTGCGCATATAAGCAGAACTAAAAAAAAATATGGCTCTTCTTTGGCACCCCGAAAAAAAATCATAATACAAAAAAAATTGGAATCAGTACAAAGTATGGCCTCCACTCTGGTTTATTACGGCCCTACATCTATCGTGCATCGACAAAATGAGATTGTCAATGTCCTGTTGAGGTACAATGTCTTGTTGAAGCACAATATTTCCAGTTTAATTGCTGAACAAGAACTGCATAGAATGTACACACTCGACACTTTCAGATTATTCATTTTAGCCGAAAACCTACAGTTTGTAAAAAACTTGAGAAAAGATTAGTTATCGTTTTTGCAGGCTTTATTCAACCCATAGAAATCTATATATATATTAGAAAGAAACTGAACCACTCACAGTTAGACGAATCTAAACATACCAATGCCTACTACGAGTTTATCTTGAGAGTGAATCATTTGAAAGGAAAAAGTCTAACACTCGGGCAGCCACGAATTGGGATATGAATGTTAATTTCTTTGATAAATCTCTAACACAGAAATCATTTTTCTGCTATAGACCAAAACTATATATAACATATTGNTATTTTTTCTTCAATCTTTTTTCATTTTTCTATATATTAATGGTTTTTTGGCTTTATTTAAAGAGAATGGTTGGCAAAACAGGCACTAATGCCTAAGTCACCCGACTCCCTATGGTGCCTATAGTTATATGTATATTTATTTAAATAATTCACATTTAATTTTCATTCAATTTGAAATTTTTAGATTTATATTTAATAATGCATGGTGTCGTTCCAATTACTTACATACTTGTGAACTTTTACCAATTATTGTATTATTATTGTATATTATTGTATTAAAAACTTCTAGGAAAACAGGTACTACTATTCTACTAGTCAATCCCTGTCATTTGGTACCCATCTTGGATTTACAATGATACACAATTTATTAAATTGTAAAGTCATCAAAACTTAATGTGTGTACCTAATATTAGATCAATCCGTCAACAGGAAGGGGATCAAACTTCAATTACTAAATAACAAACAGAGCTAGGTAAATAAAACCTTTTAATTAAAAATCATAATAAAACACACACTGAAGTAGAAACAATCATTTTACAATTTCAGGAAAATAATCAGTTGTTTACTCATTCACAACATGCCTTCGATCAGATGTGAAAGGAATAATCAGTTGAAATTGTTCTTCCAAATAACTCAAGATTAATTGCATCATTATTATTCGATTTCTTGGAGTCATTAGCCCAATACTGGCTCTATAGTCTTCGGTCACATTAAAATACGTACATATTCGTTGACACAAATTGTGCTTTTGCAATGGTGTGAGCTTGAATAGGATTAAGTCCTCGATAGGAGTTACTGAAATTTTACCATAATGGGTGGCCATGAATAAAAACATCCCATAACCTGCAAAAATGTTATTGTTCAAAAATATTCTATAATTATTCTCATCATCAATAAATTATGTATGTACAGGATCCTTCACGACGAGCGATCGTTAGGAATATTGGAGAACGATTTAAAATAAAAACTTGATATTTTGTAGAAGTGGGTTTTACGAAATGGCATTCCCGAATAAAATATTTTCAACTTCAGGTTTTTTCCTTTATACCGGAAGTTGGGGGCAACTTCCTTATTTCAAATGGAACACCCTGTATTTTATTACATTTTTGAATTTCTCAGCACATTTTAGGCCCACTTCGTATTAAAATGCCCATACTCAAATTTATTAGTTTTCGGGATATTGATTTTTTTCTGAAAAATTTGACAGTTACAGCACCACTCCGAAAAAATCATAACTCATAGACAGTAATAGTTGAAAATGTGAAATTTCGCAGAATCAAAACTTAAGCATAAACATGAGGAAGTCTATCGAATTTTCGAAAATAATTTACAGGATGGTCGAAATTTCCACCTAAAACATAACATCGAGAAAACTGATGAAACGCGATTTTTTCAAATGGAAACTATACACTATTCTATTATTTTTGGATACTACGAAAAATAAGATATCAAATGTTCTATTCCTAAAATATACCCCTGG